TATATATATATATATGTATACCTATTATAAAAGAATAGATACATTATAAAACATTATAATTCACACAAATATAAAATATAGTCATAAAAGTTATATTACATATTGTACCATTATAACTACGTAGTTTTATCACATTTTAATGTATCTTTTGAAAAAATCATAAATATTCTCAAAGAATAAGGCAGGAATTTATGGTCAATCATAATTTGACAAATAATCATAGTTTCATAAATATCTGATTATTTGTAGCATATTCTTTTACGAGAATTCATAGCCTTCAATTTGTCATTCTTAAAACATCTATTCATGAATTATTTCGCCAACCTCAGACTTGTGAATGATAGATTCACATTGTTGCTCATTTGAAAGATCACTTTCATATATAAATGAAAAAATATGTTAGAATTATTGCGATATTAACAAAAATAACAGGACTGACAATGATTGACATTTTTTTTCAAACATACAGCGATGTCCATAATTAATAATTCCTATACACAATAGTAACTGAAAATTTAACACAAAATTAACAAAGGATATCAAATTATTTGCCAGAAAAGCTCTCGTTAATTACAGTTAAAATCTTACTTGACAAATGAATGATTACCGAGTTAATTAAATATTACCCGATAATAAATTCTTATAAAAGAACCAAAGATTACATATAGTCTATGAATCCTAAATGATAAATAGATCTTTTAAATGAGGATTCGTGACATATTAATCCGAATAGCTGAATAACGATCTATAAACAGGAATCTGCAATTAATTGCACTTTCGATTAGCGATTGAAAATTAATCACGACTGTAAATATCGACCTTGGAAACTGAAAAAAGCGAAATGCATAACTTTTATCATATATGCACAACCTATATATTAAAATAAAATTAGAATATATAAGAAGTAATAACAAAAAATAACAAAAGTGGCATAGCATAAATGTTTCGGTTTCCCATGATATTATTTGTCACTGAAATATTAATAACAGTTTACTCTCGACTGCCAACTGAAAACACGTAAAAATAAAGTAAGTGCATATGTATTTTTTATTTTTAAACTTGTTTTTCCCCCTTAAATTGGATTTATTTTATAGCTGTGAATCTTGAGTTAACAAAATTCTAAATGCATTGAACATGAAATATGTAAATTACTCATAAGGCATATCAAGTAATAACGCATGAATAACAGTACAGCGTTTAACATTAAAACATTTAAATGCAGGCGGTGCTTGAGTTACGAACGTTCATACTTTTGAATTTTACAAAAATTAAAAAGCATTCCATCAAGTATTAATGCACTGAATATAATTCAATTGTGTGACAATGTTTATCTGTGTCTTCCTGCTGGAAAATTCAACTAACAAATGTGTATTCAACCAATATGGATATAACTTATTAATTAGAATGGCAATTAAAAACATTGCATTCGTAAGTCAAACAATGCCTATAAATTAATTTTTGATACACACATCAGAATTGCGCTGCATTATGTATAACGCAAAGCTATATTTATACGACATATGTAAAACTGTATTGGTATATGCACATACTACATATACAGAATGTAATAAAAGACAAAGTTATACAGTTGTACGGATAATAGACGCCTTGCTTTCACTGAACCGATCGCGAAGTGTGTGTACATAATTTTTTTCACTAAATATGCCTAAAGTTATTATTTTTTCACTAGACGCGTCTGTAGAGCTACATTATTTATTATTATACATTATTTATATTACCTGTTATTTTATGTGGAAAAATGGTAAATAAAATAGGTATGTTGATGTCACGATAGTACGTACCGATGTATTAGAAACTAAAATGCTCGATTTTATTTAGTCAAATCTAAAAATAGTAAAAATTTCGTCGTTTTTAATCCAAGTACATTTAACACGAATATTTTACTCATTCACTCATTAAAATGCACACTTTTCATCAATGACGCCCTTTTTTCGATCGTTTCCGTTTCTTTTTTTTTGTTAGATGCGACTGCGATATTCGCATCTGCTTTAGCAGAATCAGTTTCAGTTGCGTCAGTATGCGTCGTGGTATGAGGATCTGTTTTTTCTTCCAAGGTACTAACAGTTACATTTTGCTCCGCAGTATCTTCGCTTTCACTTTCAGCATCACTCGCACCAACAGCAGTTATACTTTCCATATCATCTTCCGCATTGCTCAATTCTAAGGATATAATCTTCTCTCTCAAAGTTTCCACCTAATTACGAAAAATATACATATCGTACATTATCAATTGTAATTAATTTTGTGCATTGCGTTTTCGGGTTATAATAAATGTAAAACCATTGCAATTAAACTTTTTGAGGCCTAAAAATGCGATATATTTTGCGATATCTATAGAATATGCAAACGGATGCCTCTATTCTCAACTTTTTGAAATCCAATAATACCTCTATATTCTCAATTTTCACTAATAGCATTCTCTAATAGCACATGTATAGATCCATTGCACGCGTCTCCATTGGTAAGTGGATAGTAGAAATGGATCACGTAGATTTATGCAAGAATTTAAATGCTATTAGCTGATTGAGAATAAACGTCAGTTGAGAATAAATTACATCCAATTGTAAGCGTGTGTTAAAATCTAGAATATGCTAGGCATCAATAATGTATCACATTAATGATATATAAAACATGGTAAATCTTTCTACGTGTAACAAAAAGCACATCCACACAGTCTAAGACAATATATACATATAAAGTTTATCATGAATACGTACACACATACACACACACGACTATAAGATATGTAACAGTAAGGTTAAAATGTAAGACGTAAAAACCAAATTACCAGTTGAGAAAAAAGTTGTTAATGAGATTAGTAGAAGTAGCACATTCAAAGCTTAAGATGGTGCGTATTATTCCATTGATGTAATTGATGGAATCTTGAAAGAATAAAGACAATAATGATGGAGTGAACAATATAGAAACAATATAAATGTTGAATAGACGCATAAAAGTATAAACGAAAAAACAGAAATACTCTTTTAATATCGTTTTAATTCCTACCGTGTTTCTATAAATATGCATAAGACAACGTATAAGACAATTCGAGACGACCGATTGACGTATGTATGTACAGGGTGATTCTTAGTATTATGTTTAATAATTTATTTCAAGTTTTTATGCTATTGCTAAAAGAATTTTTAATTTGTCAACTCTGGAAAGCATTAATATACAAACTAGTGAATTTCCCAAAATGTATGCGTCTTGCATAGTGTAACTCATCCGTGTATCATAAATAAAAAAAAATAAAAATGGAAGAAATGGAATATATATTCAAGTAAATGCGGCACACTTTAGAGATAGTTAGATCAATGATACTTTAATGAATTGTGCTGTCTCTTCTATTCATTGATACTTTGTTGCAATATTTCAACGCTAGTGCAAGCTCTAGGATTATAATACCTGACGTTCAATGAGCTTCTCGACGTATTCGACAGTTCGTACACGACGTTCGCCCGTCACCTCGTCTAGATATTCCTCGGTACGCCGAGTGACCTTCTCGTCCACTACTTTCTCAGATTCGCGTATCTCTTTAGGGGGGCCCACTTTACTCCGCAGAGCGAGCTTAGGGAAATCCGCGCTAGACGGCCGTAACGTAGCAAACTAAGGTAGCAAAGACAGACAAATGGAAACCGTTGTAGTAATGATTTTTGTTTAACGAACGCTGTGTTAGTTTAAGCGAACGAAAAGGCGCGATTAGTAAACAACAATCGGATTAAACACGCAACTTTGAAACAATCAAGCTTAATGCAGGTTAATTATATTTCTTGAGAAAGATTCTTGCTACATATGTTAGATTATTAAAATTAGTTTTGTCTTGGGGAATTATTTTTAAATTTCTTACTTCAGCCGTCTTTTCTTGATCGGAAGCAGGGTCGGTTACATCAGTCGCGTCACGCGTATCTTCATTTTTATTTGAAACATCCGTTATTTCATTCATCTTTTTAATCACCATTTGTGCCTGAAGCGCATCCTATAACATAAACGTAAAAAAAGTTCTTTTTTTTAGTTTATCTCTTAGTAAGCTCACGCCAAATATAGTCTCTGAAATCGTATATAGAAAAAGTATGATATAACAAAACAAAAAAAAAGTACAATGTACAAAAATGCATTAGAAAATCGTTTTTTTTTTTTTTATATAAAAATCGACTTGGATATACATTTTTTTCAAACTTTAAATTCCGATTCAGTGCATAAAATCTACAAAAAACTATTCTTTTCTTCCAAATTATAAACCCATACAGGACAATTTTATCATGAGAATTCCTTAAATTTCAATATAAATATATAACAATTTCTAGCTTTACCTGTTCGAGAGATTTAAGACGTGCTTGTCGCCAAGCGGCACGTTTTTCCGCTCTAAGTACTCGCTGTTCCGCAAGACTTAAATGCTCCTCATCTTCGTCCGAAAAACGAAGACCCTGTAAGTTATCAAAAATATTAGAAATAGAATAAAATTATCATAATTTACTTTTTCAAAATTTTCTTATAGTATATTTTCTTATTTGGCAAGATCGACTCTACGAGTCTACGACTCTAATGTTAAATGTAAATATCTTTTCATAAAATGAAATAAAAATATTGCAAAAAAACACTATATCATACGATATATATGAAATAGAATATTAAATAATTATTGCAATAATACCTCTTGTATTAAGCTTTCTTTCAAACGACGTTCCGCTTTTGCTGTCCTCACGCTGCTGGGAACATTCTGGATAAGAGGGATTGAAGTTCGCGAGCTCAGTCGGCTACTGGAAGGTAATGAGCATGCATACTGACGAATGATGTATAATATATATGCTACATAAACACATATTATATTTATTGGACAGGAAAGAAAGCAACAACACATAATTAGTGCTGCTTGAATTATTCATATTATTGATGGTTGCAGAGATCTGCAGTGAATGGGTGTATTTTTCTATTCAAATACTAATGAGACAGGCTGTGTTACTAATTTGTACTAAAACACAATTTCCCATATTTCTAGTGTTAGTGATCAATATTAGCAATCTCTAAGTGCAAAATAATTTATTTAAAGGATTACTTAAACCTTATTAATCCTAGGAATTCTAGTGAGAATATGAATCGATCGGAAGTTTGGAGAGAAATTATTTCCGAAATTACATTATTATCAGAGCGTACCATTTTATTTTAATCATATATAATTATATATAACTGAAAGAAAATTAATAAGAAAAAATTTTTTTATCTAACTGAAATCTAAGCATAAATATAAGCATAATGTATAGCGTATACAGTGTGTTCAAATAATTGTCTTTTATTAACGAGAATCTATGTATAAACTTAGTTAATATCAGTATATCTTAAAATAAATGCAAATTAGAAATCTATTTATACGATGATATTTCTATAACTACTTTCTGTTCTTACTTTCCCCTTCTGTTTGCTTTTGTTTGGACATTCTCTTAACAATAAGTTCAGGAAGACAATAGTGATCAAATAAAAATTTTTTAAAATTTTCAATAAATTTCACACGCTTCAACAAACTTCTTTGAACTGAAAATGTAGAATAAATCAAGTACATTCCAACATTTTCACCGAAAAATAACAACACGGAGTAAACAACATGTGCACAAAACTTATTAAAATAGTGGTATTATCTCACTTATTCGTTTTTATTAGTGTAATTGAAAAACAAAACCAATATTGGCAGAAATGCTGATAGTTGGAGCGCAAAAAGTTCAACCTTTTTTTGTCGTTTGACAAAATTGACAGTTTCCTGAGATATTTTGCATTTTATCATATTTTTTCATATCAAATGTCGGATATCTCGAAAAGTTTTTACTTGATTTCTATAATCACACTGCTCTTTACATGTAGAAAAATGAAAGAAAGCAATTGATGTAAAAAAAGACATAAAGAACCGTTCGAAAATTAACTCTTACAATTGGATATCAAACATTTGGTATATATAGTTATATATATATTTTCATATTTATTCGTACTGAACATTATCTATATTAAACATAGATGGAATTACATTTTTCCATCTGGTACATGCGCAAATCGCAAAGTAGCTTATTATTATGTTCAAAAAAAAATATTTTTTTATAAAAAATACTTTAAATGTAAAGCTTACTTAGGTCGTCCATTGCTTTGCTCATCTGTAATGTCCAAATCTTCTAAACCTTCGTTTTCATCAAATTGCGCCCACGATTTAAGTTCATCTCGCGTCAAAGTAGCAATTTTTTTCTCTATAAAAACATAAATGTAACTCGTTAATTTCACGAAAGATTGACAATCAATTCTTTGTATTTATAAGTGATAGCTTACCCTCCTCCTGTCTCATTTTTTCAACCTCGTCCTGACTTAAAAAACTGAATATTTTGTCTGTAACATACACACGCAATTATTCATCGAGATTTATATATTTTACAAATATCAAGCATCCGATGTATCAAGTATGACACACACACGCGCGCGCGCGCAAAAAATATAAGCATATCTTACCAGGTTTGGGCGATGGTTTTAAATGTTCTTCCATGGCACTTTCAAATAACTTCTTTTTATCGCTAACTGACATTTTTGTCAATGGTGGTGTTGGAGACGAAGTTGGAGATTGCTGTATTTACAACATTTAAATAAATAATTAATCAATTGGCAACTTTTATATTAAACAAAATTTACTGATAATAATAATGGCACTGTCCTACATGAGTTTTCCTTAGTTTTCTGTCTGTGTTGTATCCAAATCGAACCGAACAAAACTGCGTATCGCCTCAGAATTTTGAGAAAATCAAAGAAAAATAACTTTTTGTATATCTTTATAATTATACTATTATTACTATATTATGTAGAATGCTATGAATGAAGAAAATGCTACAAAGAAAAAAATTTATTTGTTTCGGAATAGTAGATATCGTAAATATGGCCAAAATGATTATTTCTGGCATATTTTTCTTTGATTTTCTCAATTTTCCCGGTAATACGCACTTTTGAATGGCAAATTCGAACGTACAAAAAGCTACAAAAAAACTCTTTTTTCTCTTTCCAGATAAAGAATCTAATTTTGTTAGGACTAGTTAAATTAAATAAAACATACAAAATCACATATGGCATCTTATTCATATAAATAATTATATAAATAAATTATAAATAAAATGGAAGAAACCAGACATTATTACAAGAATTTACAATAATACGTTCAAACAAATTTAATGAATAAAATTAATTTTTTCAGTTACGACGACCAGTTTGCTTGCATATTTATTAAGGTCTATGGCAGAAAAAATATATAAACCCAAGTTCAAATATGCGCAGAAGCTATTTGCGTTCAATAAAATTCCTCTGTAACTTTAACTTAAACATAAAACAGTTCCAAACTTATATCTTTATAAAAAGATATTCTTCTTTTAGCTTAGATCTGTTGAAAAAAGTGCCCTTTAATAAATTTATATATGTATGTATCCCAACGAGTTGATAGCTTTCGCGCAATTTTGGATATAAAGTATTGTCCAACAAAAAAAACCGCACTATTTGCATTTAACAATATATCCAATGTAAGTACATATATATTAGTACTTTATAATTAGTTAGACATGCTTCTGAAAACCCACCTCAACCTGAAAATTTCCATCGACAGAACGTGCTATCTGTCGTTTGCTAAGGGAAGCCGAAGTGTCAAGATTTCTCTCCCAGCATTCGGAAGCAGTTAGAGGCGTTGGGGGAAGTTGGAAACGGGCGTGTACAGGTTTCTGATAGGGTATAGTTCGTGGAAGAGTAGCAAATGTTTCCTGCAACGACTGAATTGGTTGTTCGATTATGGTGGACTTGACTTTGTACGGATAAGCGATGGAATCCGAGCTTTTTCTCAAAGTCGGTGGCAGATCGGAAAACGTAATACTGCGTTTTGGCAAAGACTTTTTTTTCGCTGAAGAAGGTAAGGTTTTTATACAAGTAGGACGTTCGAAATTCGCAGACTTTGAGATCGTAGGTGACTTTGACGAAGAAAAGTCCTTTGAAGTTCCAGATGTCTCATTCGATCTTGACTGAGTAAATAACATGGAAAATTATTAGTTATTTAGTTAGCATGAGGAATGCGACAACGAGTGAATTAAGATGAAATGGTTTGTCATAAAGCCGATTACATGCAAAGCAAACCAATATCATACAACTAATTTCATTAAATCATGTAAATCATAAGAAAAAATATACATGTACGTAGTACATCACCACCATCACCATACTAACGTATAATAATCATGTGAAATCAAACAAATTAACAAGTCACTAACACTGCATTGTTAAATATCAGTCTCCTGAAAGATTGATATATAATTGATGTAAATATTTTAAAACAGATTTATTTCGATAGCTACATGTCATACAAAATCTATATAGGATTTAAGTAAGAATTTCAAACTTATTTGTCGGATCGTCCATTTCTTTTATGATTGTGTGTACATACAATAGTATATCTGTCCATTGTACCATTATTGCAATAAATCATGCAACATTGCGCATAATTTTATTCATCAACGTATCATCAGCATGTTAAACATGTCCTCTCATTTTATAAAGCTATCCTATATTTGTACCCTATCCGATCGTACATATCGATACGTAGCGGAGACTGTCGTATATCTCGAGTACCTTGGGACACTTTTGACAAATTTTGTCTCATTATTCTAACCCTACGATCGTTCTTCTTCTTTTCCACTGTATTATATTACGTACCCTGTAGAATAAGTCAACGTAAATGTGTATCATTTCACTCTTCAAATCGCGTATTTGTTAATTCTTTAGCCGTTGAAAAATGAAAATGCATAATTACCAAAAATATGTTGTACGAAAAAGTGATGTAGTAGTATAATTTTAATAAAATGGTAAGAAACAATAAGACTATAAAAGCAAATATGAATCAATTTATAAATAATAGACATTCAATTAAAATATGAAAATGTCGATAGATTTTATTTTGTGTTTTATAAAAATAATATTTTTTCTCTCAAATTTCAAAATGTTGACGTCGGATTCGAATGAAAAAATGATAAAAACAAATCAAGTTTAATGAGAAGAGAGTAATTTTTTATTTGCGTCTGTTATGCTGGAAAATTTGATCTCACGAAAATTATTATGGTTCCACGATGAACAGTCTCCTCTACTGTAGGACATTATGTGTGAAACAACAGTATGTAATAAACTAGTTTCTAGTGAAACTACATTGCAGTAAAATAATCCTCTCCAATTATATGCTTTCTATCTAAATACTGTTATGAAAAAGTATCTTTATTTTAATATACATTTCGCAACAGGGATAACTATAACCACTTTCAGAAAATTTCTGTGCATAGGCGGCTTATCTTAAAAACGTCTAAATCTCCTCCCCATCGATTCTCCTATGCCAATTCAACTGGAATTTTAACATTAACATCTTTCACATAATTAAGTAAATATCTGCTTATTTGATAGTTTGTAGTATATAAACATCTGGTCCATATTAGAATTATGTGTGAACATATAATGCTTATAGAAAATATATATAGATACATAGATTCAAATTTTAATAATGATATGATACTTAATTGTAATGCTAAATGTATTTAAACATCAAGACCATTAATAGGTCTAATTGAGATAAAGGCCAATACGATTCAAAATACGATCACAAGGATGCTATAACTTGATAACAGATCCAAATATTTCTCTTTTGTAAGAATTTCCATTGCAAACCATGAGATAACGTGTGCTCATTAAAGTAAAATCGTTAATCATACATGTTTTCGTCAACATTCTTTTTCAAAAGAATCGATTTGCCGTATATAAAAGCTTTATTTTGTTTTGTTTTGTTTGTAATAATGAGAGTGTGGTATAAACTTTAATTACTTTCTCAATTCTTTCCCTTTCCTCCTCCACTCACTTCTCTCCCTCTCTCTTTCAACAATCTTAAGAATTACAGATAATTAGCGTAATTGATAATTTTAAGTCAATTATAATTACGAATAATTAATCAATTTTGTCACAGATGACTTCGGACAGAAGTAGTACTTTTGGAAATAATTAGTGCTGATAAACGATTTGAATAAATTCAGAAATCATAAGCGAAGGAATACGTTCTCGAGTTTGTTGTCAAAATACTTTATATTACAAATTAAACACTTGTCAAAGAAGAAATATTCAAGATATATTCAAAGAAAGAAGACATATTCAAACAAATTTTTATAACAAAGTTAATAAAAATAATTTAAATATATTTCTGTTCTGAAATACAGCTCGTGTTTTACAAGAATGTTTCCGACATTGCATTAACTTTCGGAACTGAATATACTGGTGATTAAATTAAACGAGATTTCATCTATTTCGAAGCATCAACATTTCTCGAATAAATCAAAAAGAGCAAAAATTTCAAAAAGTATATGATACTTTGGAGCAAAATAATTCCGATGTTTAAAAATCTACAGCCGAAAGTGCGAGGTACTGTGACATTCACACACACACGCACGCACGCACACACACACACACACACACACCCATGTGTAATTATATACGTATGTAATTGATGAATAATTAATGAATTTGTGCATCAAATACGTAATAACATGATGTATTGTGCGCTTTTTTAAAATCAACAATCACACTCACACATACACACAACGCCTGCGCGCGCGTATGTATATGTGTGTAATGCTGTGTATATAGCATTTATATATAAACTATTTTGAAATAATATTTTAAATCTTTTATAACACGGTGCATCGATATAATCAATTTAGTAACTACTCACGTTTCAACGGCAAGATATCAAACAAATTATTGGCAATTTTTATGAATATATACTGTGAAGAATAGCACTCATAGTCATAAAAGTGGAATAATATTCTTTACAGATATGTAATTGTTATAAAAGTTTCTCGTGTGAAAATGATTATATGCCCTTTGAAATCATTTAGCTAAATGTAACATAGAACGATACTTGCTTCAACACTTATGCTCTCTAGAACGTTTATAATCTCTCTTGCATAAAATGACCTTTAAATAAACTGTAACTATTTTTCCAGTGCTCTATATTAAATACATGATTAGACAACGTAGAGGCGTAGAGATATATGTAACGTTATAGTAAGTGCATAATTAGATCTTATACAAACGATCGAAATATTCATTTGCAATTGTAATAAAAAAAAAACTAACAAAGGTTTTTAGAAACTTGTACTTACACATATAAATTTTTACATAAAAATTTATCAATTTGCGTATCACAAACAGCCTATTTTGTAGTAGCTCAGAAAGATTACGTCACGGTTAATCGAGATTTTCTTCAGATACACAGCAACCATATTTGTTTTACACGTATCACACATTACCGAAATCACTACAGAATTTACGAATTGATATATAAATGTCACTAAAAAAAATCCTATTGAGTACATGAAAAGTTGTTTGCTATAACTTGTGTTTATCTATCACAGAAACATTTTCCCTTGTTACATCCGACATCTATAAATAAAGGAATTATATATACATATGTACATACACATTTTGCATACATGTGTATGTATATATGCAATTATTTCTATTTGGGAAAAATATCACACTTGTGTGTGTGTGTGTGTGTGTGTGTGTGTGTGTGTGTGTGTGTGTGTGTGTGTGTGTGTGTGTGTGTGTGTTGCGACTTGAAATCTCCAATCTTGCTTTTATCAAAAGCAAAAAATGAATTAATTACATACTCAATCCAGCCATCAGCGTGTTTTCAATAATGCTTAATGTTATAATGGCAGTATCAGTAACAAATGGAGTAACAATAGCTACTCTATATAACACTTGCAGACATATAAAAACACAAGAAATCATGATTATACGCGAGTTAATGCCATGTAAATCTTAGAGAGTGTTTTATTATGGCACAGTCCTGCGGAATCAGAGGCATGGATGCAGACACAAGGAAAATGAGTAGAAAGACGAACGACTCACTCCTGTTAGAGGGCAGCCAAAGTAGCGCTATCATCCTCCACTGTCTGTAAACATGTGAAATATCTCTCTTTTTGGCGCCCAAAGAGAGCATGCAACACTAAAGACACTAAAGACTGACAACATTACATGCACCACTTAGGGTACCTAACGAAATCATGTAATACACGATATTTACACAATTATAGAGTATTTGCGAATAAGTAAGTTCCATAAATTTAGGGAACTTTTTAAAGACTTTTATATACACCGACAACCCCGCATTTATTGGCTCTTATTAGCCATTTCTTCAATGTTTTATGTTTTCAATCAGGAGCTGTTATTGCAAAGAGTATTCAAGCAAAATGTAAATGCAACCTTTATTCTAATAGAGACTTGATAAGATTACATTAGGTCGACTTTGATAAAACCTATGTGAGAGTAGCTTCATTCGAAAATTTTCAACCTTAGATACGATTCACATTTAAAATGTCATTATTCGAAGAACCCTAACAACGAAAACACACTTTAATGTTCAAAGGAAATAATATAATTGGACAATCGATTTTATGAACGTAATCTTATAAATGCAACGGAGAGACGTAACTTCTTAAATAGTTTGGAATATCAAGAAATATACATGCGTGTGCGCACGTATGTACACTTTCTCATTTTTTCTTTCTATCTTCGCATTTCAGGCGCATGCGTTTTGTTATAATATTAATTGTGGGTTTGCATGTTGTATAAGAATGATTTAAAAAGTTAAACAAACTAATTCCTTAACAAATAAAAATACTTGATGCATAATTGTTCTGTGTCTGGAAAAGACGATTATATTCTACCAAAAATGTTTCTCTCAATATTGAGCGAAAAATTAACAATTTATAAAATATCAACGACTTTAAAAATCATTTACGTTTTTGACCAGGCAAAGTGGATTGCCTCTTTAAAAAGTTGACAATTTTTAACCTAATCATAAATAAATATATTTTATATTTACATTTTCTTTTACAGATGAATAGAGAATATTCAATGAGACAAATAATGTGCAAAATAGTTAATATTTTTATGCTAAAAGCCATGCAAAGCAAACAAAATGCAATGTCAATCGCATTAGCGTGCACAGGATTATCGATTTATTAATGATTGATTATATATTACTAAAATTAACATTGTCACATGTATGTAATTATTAAATTATACGAGAAAAATAATTATTTACGTGAAGAATAAAATAATAACATTGTCTGTTGAATTCAAATATTTTCCTATAAAATGTAAAAACTTGCGAGAAATATAATAAATTACTAAATGGAATAGAGTTAAAATCGGAACCATCGATTTCAAATTGATAAAATCTTGTAAATGAAAGAAAGTAAACAATAGTGGTTTAGGATGTACATTCCGTACGTATCATATGCATAAGATATACGCGTACTACATATATTCTTAAATTTGTTAGATTTAGAAAATGTAATAAAAAATATAAATTAAAAATGTATCAATATAGTACTTACATTAGGATTCTGAGGTGCCAATGTGTGTTTACTCATAACAATCGTGGTAGTTTTGAGATCTTTGGTGCCTCCGGGTGATTTTGGTGGTACTATTATGTCGACAGGACTATTTGATTTGTTTACTAATGATTCTGCCGCTCGTACAACATCTAACACCTATAATCAAAAGTCAAGATTTAATTAAACATAAATCTATAGTCATAAAAAATCAATAAGTTTCACACTTAAAGAATTAGGACAAAGAGAAAATTAAATTTAAATTTTCCAATTTCTCAAAGTAAGAAATTAAAAAAAGCTAATACATATTTTTTATTTACTTTTAAACTCTCAATATCAATGCAAGAAAAATATTGATTTCTAATTTGAACTACTTTTTTTTTGTTTAAATAAATAAAAAAATAATTTTCTGTACAGTTTACTACATTAGAGTATCATTAAAATGCTGGAGATATTCGCGCGACAAATTTCAAATTTGAATTATTACGAAAAAATATTTTAAATTTCAGTGTATAGAATTCATAAGAACTAACAATTTATTGAAAACAAAAATGTATAGTCTTACTTTTTCAGGCGTGGATTTTTCTCGCTGCTCCACAAGCGCACGCTCTCGTTCCTCTTGCTCCCAAGCAACAAGTTCAGCTTTCATTTCTTGTTCTTGCCTAAGAATCGCAGCTTCCTCGTCATCGCGATCTAAACTGGATACACTTTGTGACAGAGATTTAGTACCATCCGCAGCTGGATCCTTCAACTCATGAGTTGCTTTAACTTCCTTAGGATCTTTGTCCTCGGATAACGTTAATATTGGTTCAACTTCACTTTTGTCATAACCTTTACACACAACCAATGCAATCGTGTTCCCTGAGCACCGAAGAATGTTAACAGCTTCTTGATGAGTCGCACCTAATAACGATGTGCCATTGACTTCCAGCAGCCTCATGCCAACCTATATATATATATATAAATATAAAATATTAATAAAAGTCAATGTAAAAAAGCAAATATACAAATATTACAAATCTACTTGCTTTTAATCGTCCGTCTCTTTTAGCTGCACCACCTGAATTAATTTTTGATATAAAGACACCTTCATCAGTATGATCGAGAGGGTTGCCTTTCTGTCCTCTTCGCCCTCCTTTAATGTGCATACCAAGTTTTTCACCCGCATCCTTTGTTATCACTAATTCCTAAAAAAAAAAGTAATATTAATCCTTTTGATAAAATAGTTGACCATTTCTTTGCTTTATATCATTGTACCAAATTATAAAAGTAAAAAACAATATAGTGTAACCTATTTAAAATATCCCAACAAAATATTTAAAAAAGTAAGCAATATCAAAAAGGAAAATGTCCAACAAAAGTCGTACCGTTTAAAAAAAGAAAAAGAATAATGATATTGATCTTTAAGTAGATTTATGTTTTAAAGATCAATGATCATTTCCCAAATTAATTCTCCAAAAATAACTATCACTATTCTATTTTTGCATTCAAGCTTTACAACAACTTTTGTCTTGTGAAACTTTGTTTTGATATTGCTTCGAGATATTTTATTGAGACATTTAAAATGGGTAACGTACATATAAACCAAGATGTTATATTTCAATAAACTATAAATCGTTTTCTATTTCAAACTAGATGTATTATCGATATGACGGATTATTCAGTTGTAATTATAATTATACGATATTCATTTATGCGCTTCAGTAATTTAAACCGCCACGCAAATTGTAGCAAAATTTAATGTTAAAATTGTATAAATTGAAAAAGCAATAATGACTTGAATATAAATGTAATACTTGAAAAATTGATCAACTAAGTTTCTGTAAAGTAAAAGTCGTTTTATATTCTTATTCAGCGTTTAATAATATCAATTAACTATAATATAAAAACATGACACAAAGCATAAAAAGCGTATAAACATAAAATAACAAGTTTCTGTTTACAAAGTCAGCATAGGCGAAAGCAAGTCATTCATAATATAACAGTCAAGTTTTGCAGCCTTGGTGTAGGGATAAGCATAAGTAAAAACGTAAAATCAGGGATCAAGTCGAGTACTTACTGTCGCAGGGATGTACTCTATTTCGACCAGCTTGTGGGGCAAATTATAAGAAAAAAATTGCATTAGGTGAGAAAATAATCACACACTAAAGCACCGAGTGTCATTGTTTGCAACTAACAAGCATTCCTCAAAAACGTTAATAAAATATGAAAAAAAAAAAAAAAAAAC